CACATTCTGCCATGGCTCGCTCAAACACTCTAACACTCTAATTCCAGCATTCAATCTCCACAAGAGCATTTATCGCTCTCTCTCTCTCGCTCACTCGCCCATCTTCCTGCTCTTAGTTTTTCATTTTAGGGGGTAATTAAAAGAGGATGCTGGAGATTAAGGTGAGCGGGAGTGCTTTAGAGGAAAGGTCAGAGGGCAAATTGAAGTGTGTGGCAAGATCGGCCGCATTTGCATCCGCAGAGAAGACGGAAAAAATAACATACCAGGCTAAAAATGCATGAGGCCCAAATACTCATCAGTGAGGTTTGAAGGGCACGCCAGTTCCATCTGCTGCTAAACAACACAGCAACAATGCCGCGCTCTTACAGCCCCAACCGACGGTTCAAAAGTTTGAAATGACTTCTTGAATTCATATTTTTTATTATTTTACATACAATAATGATCAACAATGTGGATACATGTTATAAACTAGGGGCAGACGTCTGCAAACGTTTGAACACTCCCTGGTAAAATGACATGTTTTGCTGATTTATTTTTAACTGAAAATAAGTTAACACAACCTACAGGAAACAAGTGGTGCACATTTGACTGCACAATCTGTTATTATTTGCTGAGTTTAACATCCTGGAAAAAACTAAAGCATAAAATGGAAAAGGTTCCATAAGTTTTGCACAAGCCACATTTTTTTGCTTACTAAAATTTATTTTTAGATATTTAATTCTATATTTCTATTTTTTTAAGAAAAAAAACCCAAAAAGTATTAATAAGTAACATTTGTACATTTACATTAATTTCTTATCTGCCTTGAGATTTGGCCATCACTTTTCAAAGGCGAGGAATTCTGAATATTAATTTTATTATAGCTTCTTTGTTATACAGCCTTCTCAGTCATTAAGGAATCACTGTCTGTTCATCATTCTGAACACATCTAACATCTCTTCAACTTTTAGCCAAATTATTTAGGATGTTTCATGAATTAAATGATACTGCATCCTTATGCTAAAGCGATGGACAGCCACTCCATTAATAACAATGTTATGAAGCATCATTCCCAAGTAACAGAGCTTAAATGGAACAGGCTTTGTTTAGGAACATATATGTAAACATGTTTATCTATTTTTTCCTTCAGGCCAATACAACGTCTTTTACTTCATGAAACACATTGTCATTTTGTGGAAGCTGACTTAAGCTGTTTATAAATACTCAGGTATTGCTTTATAAAGATGTTATTCCTTTTTGAAAGTTACATATACAGTTCCATTTAACAACAGAATCATTTTATACACCACAAATGGTGGTTCCGAATGTTTGAACAATACTGGAAATCAGTTGTGTAATAATATATTAAGGAATGCAATGTTAAAAAAATATCAAAGTGTTACTATAAAACAGCAAATGTTTTGACAAAACTTGACAAGAATGAACTAAAAATACATAATTACATTTTTTTAAATAATTGAAGTTCTTCTTTTAAAAGTTCTTCATCCAAAACTTGAAATATCTTAAAATATCTTCTGGTTTATTTTATAGAGTTTGATTATTAATATGACCAATCATTCCTAACTTTTGAAAGGTAGCATATTTATAACCCCCCCAATGCTACACAGTCCAATGGTACTTCATTCTATCTTGTATTACACCATCACGAACAAAGGTACACAATGATTCTATCAGTCATATTAACTGATTATAGAATAACTATAACTATTATAAGAACTATAACTATTATAAGAATCACTAGAAAGCACTGATGTTAGTTGAGTTATTAAGCTAATCCTGAGTTAGCATGAATCATGAGCCCTATACACTGAAGCTGCTAATCTTACAACAGCAACCTCCCCAAATTCATGATTAACATAATAACCTTCGTACCCACATTTTACATGATGTGAACGTGTGACCTAGCTGTTCCTCACTCTCCCCCGCCCAGAGTGCGGCATTCCTGCTTCGGTTTGTAATACAGGGGGCAGAATTCTTCTGGAGGAATAGCATGACCCAGCTTAGCGGCCTGCCACTCACCCGCTGACTCATGTGCAGCTATTCTGGTTGACTTTTCGACATTTCAAATTTCACACATTATCCGTCAATCACACAAGTGCAAAACTGGCTATTTACTTCCTGTGAAATACTAGCGTGAATGTCACGGCTTGTCACCCAGTGCTCTAACAGCTCGTGTGTTGATGCAGTTTGTTTCTTCCTATAGTCTGATCCCTCAACCTTAAAGCCCACCCTGATATACAATTTTCCACCGAGCTAAAACGTGCTCTTCAGCTTTCGTCCCAGTTCTGGGGTTTGGAGAGGCCGAGTTGGAGTGATTGGGGCCATTATCTGTCCTGCAGATGGTAATTTACATTACTGTCTCATCTATAGTCCATATGAATGTCTGTGTTATCTAAAGCCTCTATATAACCACCGTCAGTAAATCATTACATCTTTACAGTAACAATATTACGTGAATGCCAGGCAGAGATCAGAGTCCATTCACTCTCTCTCTCTCTCTCTTTTACATGCATAATCAAATACACAAACAAAATCAACAAGGAAATTAAGGAAAAATCGACTTACAATGTAAAACGTTTCAGAGAAAGTTAAGGATTAAACCACATTTATCAATTTTAGTTATCAATTGGCATAATACATACTTTCTAGCTCCTGATCAATATCAGTATCAGTATGGGCTGATTTTAAAGTAGCCTTTGAGGTTTTTGATCCTAAAACATATTGTTTTAGGATCAATTCATGGTGGATGGGTACATGCACGGTGTTGTGAGGCAAAATAGACCCCAAAGAATCATATTTACCATTATTTTACCATGATGAACATCACATATAAAAACCCAGAAGACGTGTAGGTTCACTGGAGGTTTTGGATGGTAAATAAAATAGCTAAATCTGTGTTGTAGACATTGTGAACCCTGGTTCCTATCACCACCACTGTAGAAAAATCAGAGTTTCTCTACACTGCACCATTTCACTGATATCAGACACAAAAGTACTTTATTGGTCGGGACCTAAAACTTTCTCAAGAGTTAAACAGCTTTGAGAAAGACTAAAGAGTTCAGGACATAAGACGTTCTCAAACATTTCAATCTGAATTACTCTAATTAAAAGCTCTAATTATTTCTTAGGATATGTTACATTATATTAAGTATGCACAATGATATGGTAATCATACTGGTATCAGCACATAACATCTGCTTAACATCTGTCTGATAGATACTAAATTTGTAAATGTATAAATTCAGCAAATAAACTGTGTTCTCTGTAGAGGATGTGTGAACTTATTTTCACTTTCAAATCAACAAAACATCATTCGACTGGGGTGCAGAAACGTTTGCACACTACTGTATTCATTAAAGATGCTGAGTTCCTGCGCTAAAATATATTTATTCATTTTACTGCATTTTTAAGCCTACAGAAATAAATGTTAGATTTCTCTGTAACGCTAATCCAACTGACTAGGCACATAAAAAATATTGGATATTAGCATCGGACCACAACTCCCGTATGAGTGCACCTCTACATTTAATAGCCAATCACAGACAGCGTGAGATACACTTTGAATATGCTTCAATACTCATTAGACATTACAGATGTAGAGGCTTAAACGGTCAAACAGTACAGTCTAAGACAGCATGACCCTATACGGATTTTTCTTAAGATAGCACAAGCTTTTGAAATTGGTCTTAATTTCTTTCTTAATTGGCCTCTGAAGAATTGTTTTTGTTTTTATGATAATTTCTCATTTTATTTACATCTTAAGTTAAAAACAAAGCCATACAATAATAGGTTTGAAATGTGTTGGACATCCAAGAGTTTAATCAATCCAAGAGTAAAATGATCTATTGGAGCCTAGTTAACCGTGCTGAAAAAAAAAACCTAAGATGGTTTACACTGGTTTATACTGGTGTGATGCTGGTCTGGTGCTGCTACAGATGGTCACCCAGCACGATCATCCAAACCACAACATATCAGCGTCACCTCGTACCTCCAAAATGACAACTTTACAAGGAGAAGGAAAAGACATACATTACTTTTAATGTAAGTCAAAGGAACCAGACTTTTTTCAGAGTCATTTTGGGCCGTTTCTTTTGGTCCACTTATTATGAAATTTACACACAATGTGGACAACAGGCATTTTCAAATTAGGCCAAAACCTGAAAAAAACGGCAAAAATAAAGACATATGGTTTTGTTTCAACAGTGATATGCTGGTGTATGCTGGTTTTTCTAGCAGGGAAATATCCTGCCATTTCAAAATGCTCAAACAAGAACCTTTTACTATTGTATATTACAAGGATGGCGGTCATTATCCTTTGAGACATTATACAACTGTAAGACACACTGTTATCTAGAAAAACAAACATATAAACAAAGTTCGGGCCGCAAAATCATCTCCTCTCCTGTTTTCAGCTATGCTACATACTTTATTACATTTTTATAGATAATAGCAAGTAAACGGTGTCAGAAACCACATAGGAACGTCTATTTGAGTTTACTTAACAACTCACAGTTTGAGACAAGTGTGATGATTTAAACGTGCGGTTAATATGACGCTAGCTTGTGTTCATAAGCTTCCATTACATATTATCTGCACTAGCCTCAAAACTAAAGAAGCAAACTTCAGACACAACAAACAAACATGTCTTGGCTGATCGACGACACTTAGGTAAGAGGAAAGCTGTGCAAATTTTGCCGAACTACCATGTTAGCATGCTGGCTAACAGCAACTTAGTGACTCCTCACTGTCTAGAGCACCAGACTGTTATAACAGTGTTTCAGTACAGAGGCATACTGTAAACGTACAGCTGAGCTGAAATAGGATATGACTAGCTTTGTAAGAACTGACAGAGTGGATTAGCGAGCAGCTCACAGTGGAATCCTCCACAGCAGGAGCTGATTAGCAATCAAGCAACTGTCCACCGTTCTTTTTGCATCATTACCAATGTCAAGTGATATAGGGTAGAGCCGGTTGTTGCGTGAAAGAGTCTGATTACTCACCTGTTCTCTGAACTGCGGGTGTTTCCCACCTGTGTCAGCTCCACATCATAACACACTACATCCACACAACAGCCAAATACACTACAGTCAAAGTCCTTCTGCGCTTTATAGGGTGATCCTCCTACTGCTACTGCTATATTTCCCTCTCTCTCCCTCTACCTCTCTCACTATTGAACACTCTCGAACTCGTGCTCTTCCCTGTGCTCTTGTCCCAAGGCTCTACAGCATGTAAATAAGGCCTGTGGGAATTGCCATGGAGACGGTGTATGTGCGTGTGTAAGGCAGGTGAGCCGCCAGTATGGTGTGTGTTACACAAGGCCAAAGATACCTGAAGCGCATGGTCACCTGACGTCAATGTGTGTGTGTCTGTGTGTTAAAAATTGTGTTCATGTGTTTTTTCACTTATTTTTAGTTACTAAGGTTAGTGATCAAGATTAGTTAAATGTACATAAAACAAATATGGGACATTATTTTTTTACCTATAGACAGATCACTCTTCATTTATTTAATTTGCAGTCAAAACAGGGATTAAGCACAAGTTTTCAGGAGATATTTCTGAGGAGATTAGATACACTTTTATGAGGAAGAAGAATTCAAATGAAAATAACTGAGGGAGTTTCCAAAATGAGAGTACAAAAAACAATTAAAAGAGACAGAGAAAATGAGACCCAACCATCTGCAAATCTGGGAGACCACCTACATATTTTAGAATCTGTTAACTTTATAGGAGAATGAAATATTCTCACTATTCCTTACTATTAATATGACTAAAGTACAATCCACACACACACACACACACACACACACACACACACACACACACATATATATATATATGTTTTGTTTTTTTTAATTATTATCATATATATTTTTTTTGCAATGTATAAAAATGCCTGAAAAATGTATGTCTTTGTTAAGTATATTTTTAAAAGGCATTTATTTGTACTTACACTGTCACTATATATTTTTAAATTATATATAGTTTTAATAAAGGTTACAGATAGAACTAAAAATACATGAACCAAATATACGGTACTGACTTCTGTGTTCTGCACTGTACTTTGCATACAGTGTATTTTCATAACAGTATTTTCACATCAATACCTAAACACTTGCTTTGTTATGTTAAAGGTTTTATTATTAATATTTAAAATTAAAATACTGGGATACAAATTAATTTCAAAAGCTATTCCAAACAGTAAAGTGCATTAGAAAATATTGTAGTTTATTTTTACACATATTTAAATGTATTTAATAAACATACACTTACTACATATATTACATACATTTATTTTTGTATGGTACATTTTTATGTGTAATATTTCCATATGCATTTTAAAATATATTTGGTTAATACGGTAATATGTTCTGAAATACGTTTAAGTGTTTGGAATGCATTTTGGCATGGACTGCAAAGTGTTTGAAATATATATTTAAATATATATATATATTAAAAAAAATGTTCATATATTTTTTTCTTTATGGGTGAAGCAGTTGTTGTTGTCAGAAGAAAACCTTGAATCTCCAAAATGGTAACTTTATAGGAAAAGGAAAAAACCTGCTTTACATTCAATGCAAGTCTATGGAACCAGACTTTTTTCAAGCCATTTTGGGTCATTTATTTCAGTCCATCCATCATGAAATTTACATGCAATGTAAAGGGAAACAGGTATTTTCAAACTGGCAGAAACTGAAAAATGGAGATACGAGGTTTTCTTCAGACAACAGTGATGTATTCTCAAGTGGCTGACCATTTAAGTGTCCCTAATCACTCAGGTGAACTTCAAAACATAAAATATGAATGGGAATATACTTCAATCTGATTTCACTCTTATGCATTTCTAGGGGTGCACAAACAGATTTTAGAAAAAAGAAAAAAAAGAAAAGAAAAAAGAAATACTAAAGTAATTGCAAATATTTTTTACAGCTCATTTCTTGTCTGATTACCAGGGGTGCCAATATTTATGGACAGCACTGTATATTTCCTGCTTTTTTCCTGACATTGAAAATGAATAACCTACTTAATGGCTGTTTAACAAATGAAGAGTGGTCTTTGACTTTTGCACTTGCATGTATACATACAGTATGTTTGACCCACGTCCTGACAAGACTGTGTGTATGTGTTTGTTTATGACCATTTGACTGGGCAGACATTTATGCAGGTCCTGCTCCGAGGAGTTAATGATCAGCTCTCTGTCCGCTACCATATGCCTGCTGATATCGTTTCAGTGGCAGTTTAAAGCTTTCAGGAAGACCTGATCTATATTCTGGTCTTTGTTTGAGAGAGAGAGAGAGAGAGAGAGAGAGAGAGAGAGAGAGAGAGAGAGAGAGAGAGTGTCATTAAATTTACATCTCTTGGACATTTGATTTGTTTGGCATGGGTGGCTAAAATGAACTAGCTGGCTTTCAAAGCTATTACATCCACCTGCATTAAAGCCATTAGAGGTGATGAAATCAGCAGTTTAACGGATGACCCAGAGCATTTCCTCATTCAGAGCCGTGTGTCTATGAGGCAAAAGGGCATTGACACTGAAACTCTGTGTAGAGGTCGCAAAGCAAAGCTGGTACAGTCATAAAACGCACCTGTTTTACCACTACCATTAAAGAGAAGGCCAAATATGTATGAGAGTGCGGCAGGGGTCAAGGCTACAACTCAATACACGCATACATATACAGCCTACACACCAGACTGCTGCAAAATGCTGAGTCACAGCTAGCGATAGCTACAGATGAGTCATGAAAAACATTTGACATGTGCTTCTGACTATCTTAGATCATTGTTCGTGTTGCTACAGTACTAAATAAGACCTGACCACTGCATAACCTTGGTTTTGGTTGGGAATAGTTTGGTGTAAAATCAAATTCACACACTTTTTCTCCTGCCCCAAATGTAGTCAAACAGCAAAGTCATGGTTGGAAGTTCGCTTCTTTAGTTTTGAACTGGCTATGCGGCTAATGTAGCTAACAAGCACTGGAGGTTTATACTCAACTCCACTCAAACTTGAGAATTACGACTCATGATTTCAGCCTGAGGCTGATTAAATACAGTTTTGCACAGTCATTACTGCAATGATGTTCTCCCGCAGCTCGCAGTGGCATCAGGTTCTATCCAGCCTCAATATTTTGTATGGAGCCCTGCTGGTGACATCCGGTGTAAATAAAAATGATGCGTGGCCACGACTTAGTTATCTTGTTCCCATGCCTTATTAAGTCATGGCCATGCATTAGGATCTCGTTCCCACGTGTTAATACAATATGGCCACGACTTAGTAAGGTGTGTAAGTAAGATAACTAAGTCGTAGAGCTGTCATTTCGTCTGGCTGGTTTTAGTAACAGATCACACTCCTTTATAACTTACTAAAGTTTCAGCTGGATCAGCTATACTAGCACTAGCTCACTAGCATACATGCTATATAAACTACAAACTAGCCAACCATTTCAAGCTTGTTTTGTTTCAAGGGGACGGAAGTGAGGACGGACCGGCAGAACATTTTTAATGTGTGTGGAACTGTCTGCAGCTGTGTTTAGTGAAAAAAAGGTGACTAACTATGTTCACCCTGCTAAAAAACAGCACAGACCAGCATAAATTCCATGCTGGTTTAAGATGGTTCATGCCAGTTTACGCTAGTCTACTGCTCGTTTGGTGCTGGTTTAGCTGGTCACCCAGCATGATCATGCTGGTTGACCAGCATACCAGCATCCAAAAAACACAGCATATGCTGGTTAATGAGCTATGCTGACCTATGTTGTTTTATCTACTAGAGCAGTTACTGACCTCTAGTTAAGTCCAGGGAGAGACTATGGTCTTACAAGGTCCCTGGGCACAGGAGTCTTTGGACGCCTTCAAAGAGGAATCATGATGCTGTTCGAGTTGTAATGCTAAAACAGAAGAACAAAAGCTAAAACAGAACAGAAGAAACCCCGCACAAATGGATGAATGCTAGCATCCCATTGCTACAACAATATGAGTCAATAATGATTGAAAACAGAAAACATATCACGTCTTCACTGATTTCATTTGCTTAGTCATTTGCACATATTTAAGGGTTACATGTTTATCTAAAGCCCAAGTATTTGAGCCCCTCAATCCTTGCATCCTGGTGCCCCTCTGTCAATCAGAAGCCCCAGAGCACTGGCCCCAGTGGCCCAGTCAGTAATCTGCCCCTGCTTGAGCGCCCACCCTGACTGAATGAGCAGGTTTGTTAGAGTCTAGAGCTACATTTACAAACCAGGAAGAAACGTTCTCCCATGCTAATTTCTAGCTTTGCCTTTCCCCACAGCATAATTAGGCCCAGCCGCTTCACCTGATAGACCCTACAGGCTAACCGTCGCTAATTCATGTTAGGGGAAAGAATATTAAAAGTCATTATTTTGAAAAACAGCATGGGAATTTTACTCACGCATGGCATGTTAAGTCATTAAAGTAACACTCTTAATTGTGTATATTTCAGGTGTCTTCACTACATGGACTGCTTTCTAATTGTTAATTGTGTTTGGTCATGTGGTTTACAGGGTTGCACTGGAGCAGCTTATTGAGGCAAAGCGCCAAATGATCATTAAGAGAGAGAGAGAGAAACGGCATGAACGAAGAGAGCTCCAGTTAATAAGGGAGGCAACGTATTTATAATAAGTAGTAACTACACCCACACCACCACACAGGACAATACAAGTGCAGTTATGAGTTTCATTTACGCCAATGAAAACATCCAATTAACTTAATACTACACATTGTATTTCTTCTTATTGTGACAGATTACTTTGGGCCTGTTTAATGCTCAGAATTGTGTTTCACAGCTTCTTTATAATGATGCATAAGGACATACTTTAATACCTCCTCCAGTTTAACATTTAATTAAAAGCACTCATATAGGCAGCAATTAGCAGCGTTATTGGCAATTCACTGATCACTAATTAAACTTAATTATGTTTTTTATTCTCACTCTTGCTATGCGATAAAGACCATTGTAATTCAGTCATATGCACTCAGTGGCCACTTTATCTGAAACAGCTACCTTGTACCTCCACTCTCTGACCACTTTATTAGAAACAACTACCTCAGACGTCCACTATACAGGTGTACAGTTACAGAATGTAGTCCATCTGTCACTGCACAATTTATCAGCCCCCCCTCAACCCCATCTCATCATCGATCAGTTTCTGACCGCAGGCCTGTTGTTATTCAGACATTATTTGGGTGGTGGATCATTCTCAGCCTTACAGACATGGTAGTGTGTGTAGC